GAGACTCTGACATATTAACTAAAGTAACGAATAACTCGTGTATTTAAGTTGCATTTTTGCTAGATATGCTCGGAATCAGTCCTTGATCGTCCGGAGTTTTCGCACTGACAAGGCTAGTGTTGTGAAAAACTCGAGTCCGGAGTCCATATTTTAGGACTCGACAAGACAAGGACTCACTGCTCAGTGTATTACGAGAGCCCATCGAGTTTCCGAATAGAGCCGAGTTCGACATTAGTGCTCGAGTCTATTTATCCAACGAGTTGCGCTCGAGTCTGGTAAGTATCTACCTACTGAGCGGCGTTAATTGCCTCAGTGGCCGAACGGTTACCATGCCAGACTGTCACGCAGAGGTCCTGTGTTCGATTCACAGGCCGGGAGAAATATGTGTATGGCCTACATTTGTTTCTCTCGTGAGTTTGGGTGTAATTTGTGGTTGTCTGTTGTGTGTGTCCATGGCACCAGCGACACAGGGTTTCCCTAGTGCGGGGCTATGAGTGGTTGCGTTTATTATTATTTTTATTAATTGTGGTGTGATGTGCTAACCTGTAGTGTAATTACTGTGGTATATTTTTTTTTATTATTAAGTATCGATATCTTCTTTTTTGAAATCACTACATTGGGTTTTTGTTTTTTATTTAATTCGTGGGCACTAGGTAATAGTTATTTAGGAAAATGGAACCGCTTGTCTTACTCGAAACTTTGTAGAGTAGCAGTCGCTTCGAGTCGAGTTTTGGAACCGAACGTTAGGTTTACGGCTCCAGTTCTTTTTAGACACGTGTCCGTACCTACTCGATGATTGATCGATGAGATGACTCGCGCTTGATTCGACTCGGACTTGTGAATGTTTTAGGCCACCGAGCCGTGCAAAATGAGTCGAGTTTATAAATGTAGACTCCCGGTCTAAAGTTTTATACAACACTAGTCAAGGCACACAGTTTCCATCAAATCACCGCCCGCGTGTATCGCCGCGGAATCTCGTGATTACGGACCGCGGACGGTTCGAAACGTGTCGAGGAAAATGTCGACTTAAATACGAGAGTTATCCGTTAGTTTAGTAAATAAGTATAACACACTCTTAACTATATTTCGACAATGTGTAATACTATCGAAGGTCCAAACTTCGCAAATTTATTGAGAAATTCTTTACACTGATAACATACGCACGTGCCATCACTCCTTGTCTCGCGTGGTTTTTGATAAACCCCTTTAGCGTGCGTATGGACCTGGCGAATACACCGCACTACATTATTAACATGTATTTAACTTCATGCAGCACGTGTGCAGCGCGTGTGCCGTGCGCGCGCAGCGCACATGCAACTGGTTCGCGGCGCATTCGTCGGATTTGTACGCATCCTTAGCCTCCTACATTGGCATCAGTCTCTTCCTACATAATTATAACCTGACCACTTTTAAAGATATCCTCAATCCCTCAGTCTGATCAAGGCTTGTACTTTATTATATACATAGAAATCTACTAACGTTCTGCCGTGTTTACGATAACAACAGTAAGTCTAAGTATTAATTTCAAACATACTTAATGTTAATATTGTAAGCATTACACCGTTTCAATCAACAAAAATCTATCTTTTATACACGACCAAGTCATCGAAGCATTCTCTTCCTGTCACTGCTTCTTTTGTACAAAAAAAAAATTACTTAAAAATAAAAACTAACAGTTCTGGTTAGCCAAATAGGTATGGTTACAATGTTTTTATTATGTGTAATTCTTAATAAATACCAACATAAATGTTTTTCAAGAAAAACAACTAATATTATATATATAGAATGACATAGCCATAAGTAATATCATCGAGTATGTAACCAGAAATAGAGACGAAATAAGGGCCATTCATCCCTGGCAACTCATCAGGTAAATGGGTCTTATATCACTTTTAAATATCAAATCTCGTTTGAGCTGAAATCACAAATTAGAAAGCTGAAATAGTACAGCACCAACAACAGTGACTGACCTGTGTGTACGTCTCCGTATATTCCAAAAATATTCTGTGTTTATTGTAATAAAGATAATATCTCAACTATGGGGGGCTGTTCCATTCGGTGGTATGGGAAAAGCAACAAAACATCTAATTACAAAACAAACTGAATCAATTTTCTTCGGTAATTAAATATAAAGCTCTAGTTAAACTGGTCGATTTGAAGCGAAACATTTGACGACACCTGTCAATTGTTTCGAATTCGGGCTGGCCAATCGGAGCGCAGTTGTCACCGTGTTGATTTGGCAGAATAGTTTTCAAACAAATTAAATGACATTTCGTTCTCTATTTCTGATTATATACTCGATGTGTAATCTTAATCGACTAAATACTGAAACTGACAGCGTATACTATTAGAAAAGCATCCAATAATTTGAATATAGAATGCAATGATCTTATACGTAGTAGGTATACGTAAAAGAATGTCACTACATAACCATGTGTAATCTTAATCGATTATTAACCTCATACTTAAATTTTTAACGAGGACGAAACGATAACGCATACTATTAATTAACGGAACTGCTGTGCGAAACGATTATTATGTAATTTCGAATAATACACTAGTCTTTCTTATTTTTCTTTTTTACAGACCTGCACGATTTGTACGCGCGAAATTTTAGGTCACAAATCGAAATTCAAATTTGGCCATCGTAACGTCCTGCATAATTGTTTTGAGGAACGGCCAAGTAATTCTGTTCGTAGGTTGTGCTACTTGAGTGGATGTCAAGAAAGTTTCGCTCGTTTTGCTATTTGAATGCAATCGACAATTTCCGTAAAACACGAATAATCCCGAAATTTGGACTTTAAAAATAGTACCTATACGTACATCACAAGTCAAATCCTATCTTTATAGTCTAAAACATAACATAAAAACATATTATATTCTAAAAGAAACAAAAGTCTACCTTTGAATGAGTGAATAATTTAAGTCTAAGCAATGATCTTTTATACGTATGTACATCGAGTATATAACCAGAAATAGAGACGAAATAAGGGCCATTCATTCCTGGTAACTCATCAGTGATACAACACTTGTAAAACAAGTCTCGTTTGCACTGAAATATAGACAGCACCAACAACTGACCTACAGTGTACGTCTCTGTATATTTCAAGTCTATTCTGTATTTATTGTAATAAAGACAATATGTCTAACAATGGCATGCTGTTCCATTTGGTGGTATGGGGAAAAACAGCAAAGCATCTAATTACAAAACAAACGGAATCAAATTTCATCGGTAATTAAATTTGAAATATGTATTTTATTTTTTAAATATAAATTTTAAATATATATTTGCAATTTTCGTCCATTATAGCAAAGCTCAAATTAACTAGTCGATTTGAATTGAAACAATTGACGACACCCGTCAATTGTTTCGAATTCGGGCTAGCCAATCGGAGCGCAGATGTCACAGTAATGATACAACAGAATAGTTTTCAAACAAATTAAATAACATTTCGTCTCTATTTCTGGTATATACTCGGTGCGTATGTATAAAGTCAAAATTAAATCGGTAAACGTATTCGCACCAGTCACTTTTTTATACATAAACTGGCAAATTGTTAAGACAGTCTAGTTGATGAAAAGAGATTACCTATACACAAACAGTGATTACATACCGCCGCGCGTACTTCGGACTTTGCATAGAGTTCAAATTAGGTCCTAAGTGTCAAGCTTGGAGGGCTCTTGACACTTTTGACATTCAAATATTCAAATTCAAATATTATATTTCGGATTATTCGTCCATGTTGGTTAGTACGATAAAGAAAAAAAACTTACACGCTAATGTTAGTAATTACAACTTATAAATATGTTAAAATTATTATTACAAAGATCGAACACTCAGAAAAAATTCCTTCGATCCGGCCGGATTCGAACCGACGTCTTATAGCAAACCTTGTCAGAAGCTATACCAACTAAGCAACGGAACGAACCAGGGAACCTCACGAATTTTTCTGTGTTTGTTGTCGTGTCTTTGTGTTTGCTTTTTCAACGACTTTTTAGCCGTAGCGCCATCTATTGGAAATCTATGAAAGTATTTCGTCACCCAGTTAGATACCTTTACAGCTACCAGCCCCCGCTAGGAATGTCACTATTCTTTATCTATTTTATATACGCTTATTATTGTATTTAAACTTTTATTGAATTGATATTCAATTATTTTTTATGTAAAATTAGGTACTCCACTAGTTTGTTTATAATTATTACTAGAAAGATCGAAGACTCACAAAAAGTTATATTTAAAAAAATATTATAAATATGTACTGGGTTTCGTGTATACATGAAGTTTGGTCCAGTGTTCAAGAAATAATCCCTGGACCCTGCCAGCAGTAATACTCAAGATGCCGTTACCGCTGCCACGCTCTCTGCGCATCATGGATGCCCCGCTCTCTTTCTCATGATGACGGCAAATCCATCTACATGAGCGTCTGCGAACATTCCTGAAGCGCTACAGAATCGCAACAGCATCCAGAATGTATTATTGTACACGAAACATTGTAATTTTAAGGCCCTTCCGACCAAAATCATTGATTTTGAACTTGATTGGTTAGAAATTAATAACAATCTTGTATTGAACAGCAACTTGCTGCTCAATAAAGATGAGTCTTGTGAGTAATCATTTATGTGCACTCAAGTTATATTTTTATTAATAAACACAAACTTAATATTAATCTTGAATTTAAGATGGATTGATTAATGTCTCCTGTGCCTCCTGTGCGCACACTCGACTTTTATCAATGATTGTAAAAGTATTTTTAAATTAAAATGTAATTTACGTAACGTGACCATACGTCCCGCTTTTAAGATTCGTCTCCCGTTGTCCCCAAAACACTGAACAATGTCCCGCTTTGATAAAACAGAACATACCTACGTGACAATAAATTTAAAAAAATGGCGCGATAGCGAAAATTATATAAAGCGTAATTAAAATTATATAAATTAGATCTCTTTTAAAATTTTTGATCAATAAACGTTTATAGTTTTTAATTTTTTTATACACATGTGGTAACTTACAAACATGGTGTTTTATTTTTAAAACAATAATAAATTTACAGGCGTCCCGCTCTAAAAGGAATAAATAAAGGTCACGTTAAATTTACGTTGAGATACATTATAATAAGAGTTACATAGTGACAAAGTGAGCACGATTGCATAAGAATGTGTTATCGTAATGATCATTATTTGAAAATTATCGCAAGCAACTTCTCATTTGTTTATTCTGATGCTTCATTGACGACTCAGCCTTGTCCGCCTGACTGATCATCTGATCCAACTTACCAAACTGGCAAGTTACACTGCTACCAATATCCTTTGTTGCTGATTTTAAAAGCGAAGTTTCTTCATTGTCTTGCATGGTTTTCAAATCGTCTAACGCGGAATTAATATCGCCGCCATGTTTGTTTTTGGAGCTTCCAGCTCGCGGTGTCATTTCGTTGTCGTTTGGACCAAGACCTTCATTTATAGAGCCTCCTTCTGTGTTCGTAGGTGGAACGTAATCTTTGTCATAGTTGGTTTGACCGACGTAACTGGGTTCGGTGGAGTATGATAAGTTATCCTTCGACGATAAGTTTATGCGAAAAAAATTTGTAATGCTGCCGCAGACACCCTTAAATGAAAATAAGATGAAATTACTCGAAATGTAATTCTTCTACTTGATTAAATCGTACAAATCGTAAAATAGTATATTAATTTTACGTTGAAAACATTATACAACACTTCCGTGCTTGAGATTTAAATGCGACTCGTGACTGTACTATAAAAAAAAAACAAAAAAATACATAAATAGATGCATAGAAAGTATGGAAGGTTTTTAAAATAAATAAATAAAAAATAAATAAAAATAAAAATCTTTTATTTTCAGACACCATAGGTCCATAGTTTGTTAATAAGCAACCTTATACTATATTAGTACCAAATGACTGTATGGTGAATTTATGGTGTATTGTATATGAAGTGCACATTAAAATTTTTTAAATCGAGATGTCATAATACATAATATAAAAGTCACTGAAATAATAATGATAATTGAGTGGAGAGTAAAAATTTAAAATACTAAAATTTACAATTAATAAAATAACAATTCAAATTCAAATTAGCTAATAAAATAATAATAATTAACATGAACAAAAGTAAAATTTTAGAAATCACATGTCACAGACAAATCCATTACATTACAACTACTATTACAATTACTACTACTTACTTAGTCACTATTTTTGTGTGCGAGATGCATCTGTCTACACAATGTGCTATGATCGGGGAATCATGTCGCTCTGGTATTACCCTTAGGATGGAATTGGAACTACCCCGTAGACTGCAGAGCAGCGAGGCCGTTTTCTTTCGCATGATGGCATTAAAACCATGTTCTATCGTTTTTGTGGTCACACTTTACACGATTTTAGTAGCAGTAGAGCTTCTTATGAAAGAGCCTTGGGAAATGATGCCACCATACCTAGTTATTTCTACCACCAAAGATTAATGTGAACATTACTGCGTTCCAGTTTTGAAAGGTGAGGGTGCTGGAGAACCACAGAATTCAATTCCGCAAAATGGCCAAATTCAATTCGAAAATATACTACGAGTTTAAAAATTTTCTAGGTTTTTCTGATAAACAGAATAATCACTTATATATTTTAGATATTAACTAGTTTATGTCAAATAAACATAAGTGATATTTTATAGAGATATTTTGATTGTATTAAAATTAGCTCTTTATAAAGATGCCTTCATGACCTCTTTTCACTAAGTAGAGGTCATGAAGGTATTTTTGTACAAGTTCGATCGTGTATGGAGAAACTGCTCCCACCTTTCGGACAGCTCTGCCCATTACCAGTTAGCTGCCTTGGACCGGGTGGAGCGAAAAGCAAAGAGATTTATTAACAACAATTCTCTTATGGAGTCGACGCTACGAAATCTCGACCATCGCAGAAAAGTAGCCTGCTTGTTGGTTTTCTATGGGATACATTTCGGGGAGTGTGCGTAGGAACTTTTCAATTTAGTACCGCCCTCATCGTTCCTCCTTCGGTCGACTAGAAGGTCCGGAACACTGCATCCTTATGTCGTTGATATACCACCTATTCGCACTAAGCGCTTTGCTTCCTCCTTTCTGATACGTACGGCAAACGAATGGAATACTCTACCGGCATCTATGTTTCCCGGAAAGTACAATTTAGGGCTATTCATGGCTAGAGTGAATAGGCATCTTTTGGGTAAACGCGTTCCATCGTCGGAAGTCGAATTTGGAACCCTTATGGATGGAATATTTACTTTAAATTTGGAATGAAATGGACCACTACTGAGTAGGTGAATGGGTACCACCCTATTCTGCAATCTGTGCCTCTAAACAACAAAAAAGAATCGCCGAAATCGGTTCACAAATGTCGGAGTAATCGCATAACATACTACACACAAAATACAGCGGAATTGAGAACGTCCTCGTTTTTTTGAACTCAATTAAAAAAATAGTGTTAATGCATATAAAGCACATAACCACAGACCATATAACTAGCAGTAGTACTATCTCGTCCTTCGGGAGAGGATAAGGCATCTAATTAGCAATACAGCCAGAATTTTTTATTATACTTATTCTTTGATTAGATTTTAATTCTTCTTCAATAATTTCATTTTCTGACATATTAACGCGGGAAACCGTCTTTACGGTAGCGATTTTGAAAGTAACTTTTTATATTAGAAAATCTTATGAAGAAAAAATTCTAATGACAATTTAATATTGGCATACTAGATGTGGTATAAATTAAATACTTTGACATAATAAGAGTTTTTAAATGTAATAATCGGAATGAAAACCATAATTTATAGTCATTTTTATAAGAATATTCGTCCGCCATTAATGGTAGATTTTTGTGATACCATTATTATTTAATATACACCAACGATATCTATGTACTAGCGTAGTACACCAAATTGTTTGATACCGAAAAATCGCACAAACATTTTAATTTCATTTCATGATGTCAGTTGCGCCTTTTCAACTAACAATTATTGAGATAGATTTCTTCAACAAATTAGAATATTATAAATTGGTTTCTTTTTTTCCTGATCCCGAATATGTATTAATTTTGATAAAAATGTGAGTTATGCCTTTGTAGTTCCGAGGACAGTAATACTAATAGTTCTTGTACACAATTTAGTTCTAGTTCTTGTATGCAAATTTTTCACTCTCCCTTAAAATTATTCTAAATTACGTGAACGGTGTTGTTTGCTCAGTGACAATATACTCTACGACTTACCTTTAGTTTGTTTATTTTGGTCTGTGTTGATTTTAAAATGTCGTTCAATTCATTTAGGCCACCCTTTACATCTTTTATATCTTCGTCTAGGGCCGCTGTATTCTGTAATAATTAACCATAAAAAAGATATTGACCAGCGAAAAATAAATACATCGTCACCATTAATATCCATCTTATGATGCGTAGATAAGGTTTAAAATCAATACCTCAGCAGTCCTAATTTCCACTTCCTCGAATTCCACAACGTCCAAATGTTTGTGTTTTTGCAAAAAATCTTCTTTGTCTGGCAAAGGTTGACCAAACAATTCCGCTCTCGTACATGCATCTTCGTAAGCTTTTAACGACATTTTCATTTATTTTTCGAACGCTATTATTTTAAAACATGAGCACTGAGTGGCCACTAGGTCAGAAATTCACAAAACGCAAGGCCTTGACCTAAATAATGGATATGACACGGGAAAAGTGAAAAATTCTATGACACGAAGTTGTGCACGACAGCCTTGTAGGGGATATTGATTTTCTCTTCCTAGTACTGTCTTTTCGCCTCTAAGACGTAATAATGGTTATATACTGTAGTTGTGAGGAATCATATTTTAAAAAATATTTTCTCTATGAGGAATGACTCAACAACGTTAAATAAGCTATTTACCGTTAATTGTTTCTGAATAATATCATAGGTTTTGTTCAAAATTCGCGGCAGTATCACATTCCGTTTTAAGCATCAAAATGTTTCACAATTTAGTTTCTTCCATTCAGTTTCCAAATACTTATAGTTTATAGTTTTGTATTCATTACATTATACATTGTGCATGCTTAGTAAATAAATAAATAAACTGTTATTGATGCATTTGTTGTGTTAAATTCAATAATTTTGTCAAAATATCCCTTGCAAATTGTATAACGGTCCTATCAGCTGGTTTTATAAAGTTCAATGTCCCTATGTGAAACAGGATTGAACAAAATTACATTTTGAATGAGCTAAAAAGAGAAGCTTGATATATCTGTCTATCACGCACTCACAGGGATCAATCACCTATGAAAAGAATTTGTATTTCGATTTCGTCTGTCGTTCCGTGTTGTTTTTACCGGTAAATAAAGAAAATCTTGTGGTTACGTCGACATCGACGTAGACGTAGTTCCAGATTTTAGTTTTAATTTCATGTTTAGCTCAGTCGTTAGACAGTGCAGACTGCCGTATTTATTAAGAACTGCTACAACCATGTCGTCGAATTCGGAAGGTAACATTTCAACCTTCTTTCTTATTTTAATTTTAAACTTTCGTTTTAGATTTTTGTGAAACCTGTAACAAAACATTCGGTATTTTGTGCTAAAAATAAACTCGCGTTAGAGTTATTTTGAGTGCATTTTTCATGCATTTGCTGGTTGAATGTGCTTTGTCATCGCGCAGTTTTAAACAGCCTCTTGTTTTAATTTTCTTTTTTTTACCAAATCGTGTATATTGTACTGGCCAATAAGCTAAATCGATCATAAAAAGCTCCTTGGTATTTTAAAAAGAAAACTAGTGCACTTCTGTTTTTAAAAAATAAAATTGTCAAATATACTTGGGCACCTGAAATTGTAAAAAATTCCATTTTATAGATTTGTTTTAAAAATCCTAATAATCATGAAATGAATACAATAGTACTGACACTTAACATTGCAAAAAGTGTTGTCACAAAATTGCAAAGACATTGTCACGAGAAAGTGTGCCGTACAAGTGAGTTTTTAAGTCTGTAAAAACCATTCAAACTGGATACTTTTAGCAATGGAGATGCAAAAATGCATGTCGCCGGTAAATACCTATTCCATAAAGTTGCCCATACCGACTTTTACTGTAGAGAGATTCAAAAGTTAGTAACAACCAACAGCTACATAATATTTTTAAATTGTTCAATATGGCCTAATATATTGTGTCCCAAAATTATTAGGACCATCTCCACGTGTAGTACTGCAATTAACAATGTGACCCACCATTATTCAGGGGTCTCTACATAGTGGATCTATGCCCCAAGGCAAAGCCCCCAAATAACCAGTTTGTTTTGCACCAAGATGTCCTGAAACATGAATAAATACCATACAAACTTCAACCCAAACCTGAATCAATTCAGAAACAACCGTTTCCTAAATTGGTCCTAACGTGAATTGCCCCGGGACCTTATACATATTGCTAACTTACCTGTACATTTTATATAAATTACCAATCTTAAACTTGTTGGGTATTTTGTAGTATTACTGCTAATCTTTTATGACTTTTGTTTTAGTCCCCCTTACCATTGAGAAACTGAACAAGTTCCGCAATGACTTCTATGCTGATCCAAAGAATGAGCTGGCACAGAATGTATGCACCCGTTTTGATCCATTCGAAGTGGCCATTAGCAGACGGAAAGCAGACAGCAGTCTACATGTGTACAATATTAAGGTAAAATATTAATACCTTGACGGTATTCCTATGTATTAGACTCATTTCCCTATGCGAGCTTGCAAAGGGCATAAATAATATAAACATGCAGGTCCGTAGATTCACTCAATGTACAAAGGAGGTGAAAGGTAGACTTTACAGCTTTTTTTCAGTCAATGCACTTCTGTGGGTTAGATACACAGCATACATGCAAACCTATAAGAGTACAGTGCAATAACATCTTCAAGATGCTGTTGGGACTGCCACGGCTCCGGCATGTTTACCGAAGCGCAAACAAACTACTTTTATGCCATTAGGCAATAAAAGGTGTTGTCTCTGCTAAATAGAGTGTGTGGCAGTGGCAATGGCATCCTAAATATGTTTGCTCATCCATAATTTTGACTGTACAATTTGGATATAGATCACTCCTGGTCAAATTAAGTAATGATTTATGCATTTTCTTAATTTTAATACTTAAATTTTTGTAGTTCAATATTTAAATTTTGTTTTATTTGGTAATGTTATAGTGAGTACTCCGTTCAGGAAAAAGGCTAAAACTTTGTATTCCTACATGAGGTCTTGCTTGTTACAAGGCAACACCTGCCACAGGAGTATTCGGACAGACAGAAGAAGTTACAATGATTGAGATCCAAATGTCACTTAATAAACAAAAAGTAGTACCATTTTGCCCCATGATAGATTATACTGAGATTCCTAGTGAGGAAATTGTTGCTTCTCGAAACTTCTTTGGATGAGCACATGCCAGTACACGGTTGTGGTATGTCATCTGGTTAAAGATTCAAACAGACAAAGGCATGAGACTACTCCAGTTCTTTAACACTGTTGACCTTATATCCGAATTGTAATTAGTGGTGATCACAATAGATCATTTATTTTCTGTAGATGGGTAATAATATCTAGATAGCTGTCTAATCATTTTCGAACAGTTGATAGAATCTATGACAGAACTGGTAAAAATTTGGTGCCTGTGCAGAACTCGTCTGGATTTGTACTAATACTGCCATAAAGCACCACTCTTGTGTTTTTGCATGAAATGCTCAGGAGACGTCACCTATGGTACAGGCAAAACATTTGCAAGATTAAGGACTTCCTTAAGTAAATATTTAAAAAAAGTGTACAGTAGGAGGCAAACAAGCGGATATCTACTGCAACTGGCATCCAATTTTTTTTACAAGTGGAAAGTCTGATTATTGTTTGATAATCCTCTTTTGCAGATCGAATCAGAAGGTAAGCCGGTGACAAACCAGGAGAACTCTGGCCGCTGTTGGCTGTTCGCGGCGCTCAACGTTATGCGACTGCCCTTCATGAAGAAATACAGCCTTGAGGAATTTGAGTTTTCACAGAGGTATTATTTCAAATTTTATTATAAGGCGTAAGAATAAGTACTGTTTTTTTCCTTATACAAGATTATATAAATAAAGCATAAGATATATAAAGGTAGCCAATCAATTTAAAGAGTGAAATGTGTCACTGAGAGTGTGTCAAGTGCCTGCATTGTGCAGTATTTGTACTGTATTATGTTTTGCTTGCTTCACGTTATTAGTCATTAAATGTAATCTTCATTATCTTACATATTTTACTGCTTATTATTAAATAATACATTGTTGCAGAATACTACTATTTTGAACTAAGCATATAGCGACGAGCAGAGCATGCGAAACATTATCGTGAATAAAGCACCCGTCTTCTTACGTATACAAATTTTTTTGACGTAAGAAGATGGGTATGTGCTCTTTTCACTCTAAAGTTTCACTTGTCCTGCTCAAAAATACAATTCATTAACAAAAATTACAGTACAATTCACTAATAAAAATAAGCATTCTTAAATTAAAGGTAAAAATAGTAGACTTAAATTTCCAATTAAACATTAATGCTTAAGGTAAATAAATAGTTTCAAGATTAATGATGCATAATTAATTTGTGTACAACATTTTTCTATAACTAAATTACCTCCACATCATCAGCTTGTCTTTAGACATAAGCCTCGTCCAGAGACTTCCAATTCTCCCTGTCCTGTGCCTGTCGTTGCCAAAAAGAGCCTGCCACCAATTTGTAAATCATCTTTCCATCTTCTTCGCTGCTTTTTCTCATCAGGTTGTCAGAAGAGAGACAATAACTTTAATAATAATTACTGATTATTACAAACCGACCACAGTCTTGCTCAGTTGATAAGAGCAGTGGCCTCGATGTGGCAACAGACGCTGGTTCAAGTCCAGTTATATCTTAGGTATTTTTCTTTGTGTTGTTTGTTCTTTGTATCAATAATTATAACAAAGTTGTAACAAAGGAGTATTTTCACAAAAAATGTGAATCCCATGGTAGTAATAACCTAACCTCTGGTAAAACAAAAACCGACCTCAAAAGTCATTCATGCCCTAGTTTACTACCCTTAGAAGTAGAATATTTCCTTCAAATTTAAATGGGACCACTTCTGAGGTACCCTCTTTCCAACAAAAAAAGAATCATCAAAATCGGTTCACAAATGGCGGAGTTATCGCATAACATACACACAAAAAAACCATACAGACGAATTGAGAACCTCCTACTTTTTTTGAAGTCAGTTAAAAATAAAGTAGTAAATTGCTAGGGAGTTTCCGAGAGGAACAGTTCCCAGAACACACAGACCAGAACCAATCCAACAAAATTCACTGATATACACACCCAACATGTAACCACCATACACAACGACCAAGGGTCGTATTCTAGAACTCTATTCAATGCTCAAGTCAGGATTGCACTGGCAACACAAGCACTGGAAATACGACCCCAATGGCAGGGACTTGAGTATGATTTCGAGTGCTTTAAACCATACTCAGATCCTGACTTGAGTCAGGACGTGAGCAGACTTGAGTATGATTTCAAGCACTGGAAATACGACCCTAATGACAAGGACTTGAGTATGATTTTCAGTGCTCAGTGCAATACTCAAGTCCTGACTTGAGTATTGAGTAGAGTTCTGGAACACGACTTAAGTCACACGCACACGCTCGCACCTTGGTTTTAGTTTCATCACTTTTTTGTTTTTTTTTTTCTTTCTTTATTTCTGCTATAATTGTTGCAATTGTTTTAACTTAAAATTTCGTCTGGGATAGTGCAAATACGCGTATGTAACATTGATAAAAGGTATCTGCAGTACATCAAATTTTACAGGAGATTGATTTATCGTTGTTACTTTGTTTTTTCAATAGTTACGACTTTAATTTTTGCACAGGGTAAACTAGTTTAGGCTCCAGCCTTTGCAGACAACAAATCTTTTGCTTTTTACTTATTTTTGTACAACAATTTATTATTAATTTAGAAAATTTTATTTCCCATATTGGTAACCTACCCCACAGTGCAAACCGTTGGGCCACAGAGGTCGTCAACTACTAATGGTACTCATTAAAATTATATACAATGAATTACTAATTTTGAAAAATTTTATTAAACAGGTTTTTATTTTTATCAATTTAGATTTTTTAGTCAACAGAGTATAATTGATAGAGCTTGAATGTCGGTCGTATATTTGTATTCCAGTTACTTATTCTTTTGGGACAAGATCGAGCGCTCTCACTACTGGCTGAACAACATCGTTTCCACCGCAAAGGCGGGCGAACCCTTGGACGGAAGACTGGTCAACTTTTTACTCAAAGTAAGTTCTTAATCACGACTGTGGACCCAAAATGTCAATATACGTTGATTTAAGGCTTTACTTTGTCTAATTCTTATTTATTAAATCTGTAGGTGAGACTTCTAGAACCTTAAGGCTCAACTCACACTGGCGCAAAGTTGAAGCCTCGCGACGCGTCATATTTTTCGCCTATACCATATTCATCTCTATTTTCCCATAATTAAGGTACAAATTTGTGTTATGCAAATATGGAATCGCGCGTCGACGCTTGGTTAAAGTCAAGCGATTTCGCGTCTCCGTGCGTTGTAGTTGAAAAACAGGACGGGACGCGACGCTTCTACTCCGCGTCAGTGCGAGTCGATACAACCTCAAATCGCATAACAGTGAAAGTGTTGTGTTAACATCTTTGGAAAAAATGTGTAGTAAAATTAAGGATATACTCTGATTAGTAAACGGTGTGAAAACAGGATTCCAAAAAGTTTTCACGATAGAAAAAATAGAATTTAAAACACGAACTTACCTCGAGATTTTGTAAGCAAACCGCTGTTCAATAGATACTTTACCTATACCAATGAGTTTTTTTTATATCAACTAAACGTATAGTATACGATATATATTTTTCAAATGACTTTAATAAAAAAAAATATTCTGAAATAAAGCCAGTGTCCTTGCCACTCGACACAAGCAAAATGAACCTTATTAGTACAGGAAAAATTTGAATTGGCGCTGTGGTAGTATCGACTTTAAGTCCCAAATGGTAATTTATGCTGCGGGGGGTTAAAGAGAATAAGGCTGTTAACTGGGCATTTAAAATCAATCGAATATGTTAAATAAAAAACAAACGACGATATAACTTAATGTGTTATAACCATTGCGTGATTTTTAGCATTCTAAACATTAAACCAATCTTTGTAAAAACATCTAATTTCCAAAATATGGACTTAAGGTACTTTACCACTCAACTACAGAAATAAAATAAATAAACGTGACTTTTCTATATTCTCATTTTTTGGTTGACTATACGATACAGCTACATCCTGTGCGTAGGATTTCATAGTCCATTTGATGTCACGCCTTATTTTATCAACCATCACATCCTTTCCCCCACCCATTGGCGGTAACTGTTTATTACTTTATCATTTATCAAATATTTGCTAGCAATTTGCTGAACACTTTTAGATACGGGTATTTGCGTTTCGTATTACTATCTGTTATCATTGTTTGTGAAGTGTGAAATTATAAATCTTAGGTTTCTAGAAACTTCGTAATAATGATTGTCATTTGTTTTATAGTCGTCACCAAATAAGAGGCCAAATTTGACAGCTAAAGAAGGCGATAGTATGTAACTTTGAATGCGATCAACGAAACAATAAACAAAGTTGAAAAAAATACATAAATATTATTGAAACATTATATGTTATAACAAAACTAATTTGAAGTGCTGTTTTCGCAGGAATTACAATATAAAATACAATTTTGAGTTACTCCGAAACGTCCTGGAAACAGTTACGTCCTAAAGCAATTTATTTCTTAAATAATGGTGTTGTAAGCAATTAATTGCCGAATTTCACCGAGTTACTTCGATTTCTCGGTAAAAATATTGACTTATTAAATATTAAAACAAAAATGTGTAAAATAGGTGTATCTTAAATAATTATGTATATAACATCTCTGACCACACCTATTGCAAATAAATATATAATTTATCTAATTTAAAAGAGCTTGGTTATTTTAGGTGTATTTTTCTTGTGACTCGGCTTTGCTCTTAGACTGTTCCTGTTTTCTAAATTATGAACATTATTTAAGATTGTATGTTGCTGATATTGGCATCTTTTAACTTACTGCCAGCCAAATAATAAAAAATTTGTGAAATCCTTGGTTTCTTGGTAATTTAATCTTTTTATGTAGTTGTTTTATCTACGAACATACTTATTTACACTAAATTCTCGTAATAAACCCTTTATGAATATTATAAAATCAAAATTTAAAGAATTGGATACAATTCATCGGAATGTGGGATAATTTTACGAAAATGAGAAGAATTGCTACCAAATTGCAAGGTATTCTGTAAATTAATTGCTTTTAACAGAATTGGACGATTTGTCCTTTTAGGCCCCCTGAACAACATTGAACCGAAAAATAATCTAAACAATTACAAACTCAGAATATTGAATCGATTTCTCGTAAAAATCGTATAATGTGATTACCGATGTGATTAGTCCACATCGCATCCCTATTCGCGTCACGATAACAAGTGTCAAATTTGGCCTCTTATTTGGTGACCACCATAACCGCAAAAACATACTTTTGTGTACCTGACGACGCGTGATGTCATTTAGGGCGCGTTCCCATTATGTCGTGAAGACAGATAGTGGTGCAGTTTAAAGTGTCGTGGCTTGTATATTTAAATGAAGTTGTTCACACATATAACAACACGATTAACTGTCGTTCACGACATTTTTGATGCTATGACGACAGATGGCCGTGACAATGGGAAGAGCTAGAACGGCAGTCGCCCGACGATAAATAAAACGTCACGATAAAAATATGACGACAAATAATCGCAGCTTCAAACGATTCCATCGTGGCAACGACGAAGCGGCTGCCGTGAATCGATAAATTGTCATCGCGATCTAGTGGGAACAGCTAGACAAGACAGTCGGTCAACGATAAAATAAACGTCCACGGCACAGTCACGACAGATGTCGTGATAAGGCAACAGGCGAGACGCGACTGTCGTCCAATGATAAATAAATCGTTACGACATAATGGGAACGCGGCCTAAGTTTCATTGCCGAACGGTCTTTTGACAGAGGCCTAAACGCAAAGGCTCTATTTTAAAACCCCGATGAAAAAGAGGCGAGTTATAAAACGCAACCACATTCACAAACACCACCATGAGATTACAGTGACAGTTATCACTAGCGACCGCGTAAAATGTTTGTATACAAAATGTTGTTTCTTTTTGTGACCTAGGCTAGGGGCGCTGTATTTTTCGCCATACAAAATTGTGAAGTAATTTACGCGGTCGCTAGCGACAACTGTCACAGTAAACTCGTGATTGAGACACGTGGCATGCTACAAAAGTTACTCGAGGTCAGGCGTGGCGTGCTGTGTAAAAAAATGCGTGTACCGCGCGCCGCCCACATGGCCTGCTGCTTCAGAAAAATCGTTTGTTCTATGGAGCTGAAAGTATTAATAAAGAAACTGATGCCGATGTTACGCCGTCATATTTACTTTGTGTAGAAAATACTTACACTCATAGTTTATTATATTTACGATGTGAAATGTTTATTACCAGGACCCTATAAACGATGGCGGACAATGGGATATGATAGTAAACCTGGTGAACAAGTACGGTGTGGTACCCAAGAAGATATTCCCAGAGTCATTTAGCTCCAGGCGTAGTCTGCACATGAATGCACTCATTAAGACCAAGGTAAACATGTTTACTATCTACTTAATTAGGTACAATTAATGGTTCTCTACATAGAACCAGTCATAGTCTCCTAAAAAGTACTCTTCATGTAAAAATAGATCCTAAAGTTCCAAATACAAGACTAATACTTCCATGGCCACGTTCACTTTAGTTTAAGAGACAATCGTTACCAAATTTCTATACAATTATATTAGTAAAAAGGAAAAATTTTGAAATTATTAACTTAAATTAATAATATTATTAATAATGAATAAGTTCCACCAGTTTTGGTTTCACCAGTGCTGATTTTTTTGTGTCAATAGTGGACGTGTAGATGTTTACAATAAATAAAAAATGAGAGAGAGGAGTATAAAACATATTTTAATTACCTCGACGTTTCGGACATATTCATTGTCCATGGTCTCGAAGGGACTGAAGAGGCGTGTGTCAGCATTTTATAACCGTGCGTGTTTTTCTAACTACCCGCACTTCATCTTGATAACCCTAGTGCACAAATAAATAATGACGATCAAGTGCGGGTGGTAAGAAAAATTCTAACGTCTATACGTTACAATACGTCCGGAACGTCGAGGTAATTAAAATATGTTTTATATATGATCAAGTCCCGAATGAAAAATGAAATAATAAATGAAAATCGTGAAAGTTGGTCTCAAAGGACAGAGAGGTGCTCTCACACACATCTTTGAAGAAAATATAAAGGCAATAATTTACTACCTCAGCTCCCAGAGCACCAATCCTTATTTGGTTATCTTTTTCAGCTCCGCGAGTTCGCCAAAGAACTGCGAGACAAAGTGGCGGCAAATGAGTCAGACGAAATGATACAGCAAGTCATCAACAAACAGATCGCAATCATTTACAACATCGTTGCTACTTGCTTAGGTAAAAACTTTTTCAATCGAACGTTGAAATTGGTATTCCAAAATAGTAGATTACACAACAAGTGCATAAAACGCGCCATTTTACTCGAGACGTGTATAAGAAGAAAAAATCATATTCAACGTCAGAAAATTAAACCTAATAGGCGCTAAAACGTAGCTTATTTTTTTGTTCTCGCTAAATAGAAGTAAAATGTCGCTTTTGATGTCAAAATGTTGTTAAATTTTGCGACAAAGTCACTGGGTTGACAACGCTCTCACCATTCAACATTTTATTTATCAATGAATACGTTAGAATCTCTGCCATTTAATAACTTACTTTACACCCTAATGAAACAATGTTCTGTAAATATCTCTGCTTTTCGAGGGTAGTGGCCTACGTCTGGAAATTGTCATGGATACCCTATGTTACCGACTAAAACTTGACGATGTTTCGCCTTGTCGCTTTCCGGCGGGAATACGGGAACCCAAATGCACCCTACCGCGAATCAAGAATAGTGGCCTAAACCAACATTCTTTTAGTGATTTATAGTCTGTCTTTTTTGAAGATAAAGTAAAATGACAGTTCATTGCGTAAGTGTTACCCGCTTGCAAGCGGGTAGTGATTGCAGTCGATAAAATATTCTGTCGACTATCGACTGAATGTTGGTCACGCTTATGCAATACATAGCCAAACTTGTTTCATTTGAATCATCATCCGCTCTTTATTCGTCCAACTGCCCCACCACAGGTTTATTTAAATTGTCAATTTTTGTAAGTTCATACATACAACTGCATTTAGAACTATGTCTACGAAAACACAAAAAAGAATGCATTTACTTTAAAGTTCTATTTAACTTAGTCAAATTCACCTGATTTCATTAAAATGTACTGAAATAAAAATTTATTTCGGTAGTAGTAGCCCACTGTCAAAATGAGAATAAAAAATGTAATAACGCAATTAGTAATCTTTAAAACGTCGTAACATTTACAATTCAGACGTTTTTGGCAAAATTTTACCGTCTTTCACAATCTGTCGATAAAACTGTCAGCAACAACTACATGAGTGTTTAAAATTTTATGAAAACTGGCAACTCTGCAAACGTCATTTTACTCCGTCTTCAAAAAATAAAACGGATTTCCACCCCGAAGGGCAGAAAACAGTTATTTTAGGTCTTGCCGAGGCTTGACTTTTCGGAGATAACTATCATCCCATTCATGTGCAAAACGCAAGTTACCTACTCGCTACGTCTGTGAGAGAAGGGCAGTGCGCGGGGATCGCGGGGAGCGGCCCCCGCGCGGGTGGCGTCGGCAGGCGCGGGCGGCAGGTCGCGCGCTCGCACTCTTCAGTACTTCCCGAAAGAGCCGGCAAGGCCTTGCTCAGGTCAAGCCTCGGCAAGGCCTAAAATAACTGTTTTCTGCCCTTCGGGGTGGAACATTTACAACATTTGTTGCGAATATAATAAGACCTGCCCTTAATCTTGGTTTTAAATAATGGCAATGTATTTGAAAACATTAGTCCTTCTGCTTAAGGACAAAGACAAGTAACAAAAATAAATTATAGATGAGAACATGATATTTTCAATACGTACTATGTACTGCTAAAAATTAACACAGAAACAAACCAATGTCTTTAAGATCACTTAATTGGCTTACAACCTAGGTTCATATTCTTTAATCAGTCTCAGAGAGAGATCATCAGTATAGGTACCTGCATCATGAAATTATAACAAAATCACAAACTTGAATCACAAGTACAACTAACCTAAGGAACTAAATGAGGTAGCCAGCGGATTAGTCTCATGAGCCCGACCTTATGAAAAGTCTTGGAATAATGCTTGAAGAAATGCAATAAAGCTTGATGAAATTTTCTTGCCCTCTCCAGTTGCCTCTTGATAAAATCTGATCTACTGGAACATTATTTTCAAAGTCATAAGAGGCCACGGCTGAGCGAATTGAGCTTGGACTGCAATGGACTCCTAGCTGTTTTAACGTTGTTTTAAGCCAACCTGCAATAACGGTCCTAGAGGCGGCTTTAACCTTACCACGAGTACCAATAAAAAGATTATGCAGTCCTTCCTGTGCTCTTCGCCTGTTCTGGGAAATTTCTAATAAACGTTTCACCCATTTGACTAAATCCCACGAAGTGTTAGGCGAGCTTGATAATAACCAACCAGACTGGCGATGCCTGGCATTGTCGGTTTTTGACCCGAATGTCGGCCAAATAGTAATTGTAGAATTTTCAATTATACAGTGTTCAGGATCTATAAGCAATAATGTCAAATCGTGGATTCTGCGTCCCGAAGCTAATAGTAGCAGGAACGCGACATGACGGGATACTTGGAAAATACTATTTGTATCGGGTGGATTACAATCGAGCCAGTGTAAAAGATCTTGAATATTCCAAATTTCAGATTTCTTGGACTGCTTACTGTGTGGTTTTAAACTGATTGCTTTTAACATTGTTGATACCAGAGAATGTGAATTTAAAGCTGATCCATTTTCAAGGTTGGCTATGGACGTAACCATCGATTTATGGACTAAAATCGTTGCATATGCTAGCTTTTTAATTCTGTGGAGGAAGCCCAAATATGCGGCGACTTCTTGAGGCCGAGGCCTATCCGGTTTTGCCTCACTCTGTTTACACCACTCGGCCCATTGCCGCCATGCTGAACTGTATGTCTTCCATGTCGATTCCCTCCATCCTCCTTGTAATAGAGCGACGTCGTCTTTGCATAAACCCGATACTAATTTGCTCCACTCCGTACCTTCCAGACCTCTAAAGTAATGTTGTTCACTTTTGGAGGGAGAAGATTTGTTGATAGGTTCACAAGATGGAGGGCCGGGTTGCGAATCTGAAATGGAGCTGCAACTGCTCTGCGCTTTAAGTCTCCTCTCCAGAACGCCTATTGCCATTTCGGGACTACCAACAGGAAGAATCCCTTTGCTTTCTCAGGTGATGTAAAACCTTGGGTATTGTGGGTGGAGGAGGAAATTATCCAAGCCAGCTCATAATTCCACTGCCTGCTGAAGGCATTGATGAACTGCGCTTGATGAAATTGATAGGACTGATGCAAACAGGTCTACCTCCGGGACACCCTATTTATGAAATATGATTATTAAGAAATCCGCAATTACTAAGAAATCGTTGAGGTAAACGAGCCTTCCTCTCTCAACTGGCTTACTAACCAATTTCTCACCCGTGAGAATGCCAGTGGGGCGCTTGATAGCCCGAAGGGAAGACACGTCATTTGAAAAAGTTGGTTTTTGTAAGAAAAAGCCAAGGACCCCCTGTGAGTCTCTTTTATTGGTGTGTGAAAATAGGCTTGAAAGATGTCTAATTTCCCCATGTAATCGCCTCTTTGAAGAAGGGCTGGAACTTGGCTTTGATTGATTAGTCGAAACTTTTTTGGATTGAGATAGCCGTTTAATCCCCGAAGATCGAATATTTGGCGCAATTTTCCGTTCGGCTATGAAATTAGGAATAATCGGGAGAAAAACCCGTCCGATGTCTTACTTCTTCTATGACTCCAGAGTTGAGAAGTTCCCGTATTTCTCTGGATATGTTGGGTGAAGGTTATGTCTCGAACTTTTTTAAATGGGTTTGCTTAAAAGGATTGAGAGGGGTTTCTTTGCAAATGGGATCGAGTAACCGGTTATTACTCTTAGTATTGCATCCGGGGCTTTCAATTCGTGCCATTGGTTCTCGAAGTCCTTCAGCTGACCCCTTTGAAAATAATTAACGTCTTTGATGCGATGATCAGCGAACCTTCGATTTTTGAGGTTTCTTCTTTGCCAGGCCTTCTCTGTACTTATTGTCTTTGAATGGGTGTCCTCTCTTAGACTGGTATTTTCCTCTTGCTGAACCTGCTGAGCTTGCACGGCTTGGGTCAGAACGACGTAAATACTTGAGAAAGTTATGCTTGGTTGGTTTATTGGTTTTAAAGAAAAATATTTTTGAAGAGCCCCCCATATCCTTGATAAGACTTGATAGTTTCTTTTCATTAAATAACTGCGTTGGAGAAGGCGGAATTCCAGCAAATCTTTGCTTTAACACCTCATTTCTAGGCTTGAAGGTTTTACGTCTCATGTCAATAGTTTCAGCTCGATGAGCAATCACAAACTGCAGAAGTTCATCAGACTTGGTCAAAGAACAGACTCGTTCAGAATTTTCTTAACTCGTTCGGCTGTCTCTGGAAATTCTTTTACTAACTCCTGTAATTCTTCAGCTACACCCTTCCTCTGAGTTAACAGGCCATGTGCGATTGTGCCCAAGAGTCCATCCAGTCTTTCGAGAATTCGAGATCCTTGGATGCCCAAATTAGCCAAATCTGGGTTTGTTTTCAAAGAGGAGAAAACTGAGGAAGCGTGTAGCTTCTTTTCTACTTT